GGTGGATGGGTGGGTGGACGGACAGATGGATGAGGGATGGATGGAAGGAAGGGTGAATGGGTGGGTGGACAGACAGATGGATGAGGGATGGATGGAAGGAAGGGTGGATGGACAGACAGATGGATGAGGGATGGATTGGATGGATCGGGGGGTGGGTGGATGGATGGGTGGATGTATGGAAGGGTGGGTGGGTGGATGGACGGATGAGTGGATGGATGGAAGGAAGAGTGATGGGTGGGTGGACGGACAGATGGATGAGGGATGGATGGATTGGATGGATGGGTTGGCGGGTCGATGGACGGATGGACGGATTGGATGGATTGGAGAGTGAGTGGATGGGTGGATGGACAGATGGATAGAAGGATGGGTGGGTCAGTAGATGGATGGCTGGATGGACGCGTGGGTGGATGGACGGACAAATGGATGGATGGATGGATGGGAGGGTGGATGGATGGATGGATGGATGGACACGTGGGTGGATGGATGGATGGGAGGATGGAAGGAGGGGTGGGCGGATGGAGGGATGGACACATGGGTGGGTGGATGGATGGGAGGGTGGAAGAAGGGGTGGGCGGATGGATGGATGGTTGGATAGAAAGGTGGGTGGGTCAGGTCAGTGGATGGATTACTGGACGAGCGGGTGGACGGACGGACGGACACATGGATGGGTGGATGGATGGATGGATGGATGGGTCTTTGGACGGACGGACAGTGTGACTATCAGACGGACAGAAGGACAGAGCGGGTACGTGGAGATAAGACAGACCAATGAATACCCAGGAGTCCCTCCGCTCACCTGGTGCCGCTTCTCAGACTCCAGCTTGACCCGGGAGTGGATGAGTTTGAAGGTCTCCTGGAAGGTCTCCTGCAAGGCCACCTCCATCAGGTGCTTGTGGTAGGCGCCCACTAGGTTGCCACAGATGAAGATCACCGCATTGGCCAGGAGCTGGGGGGGAGAAGGATGAGATGGGCCTCAGGGGCAGAGCATCCGTGGGGTCCCTGGGGATGCTAAGGAGGAGAGGAGGGTGGGGGACAGCTGGGGGGCCGGGAGCGGGACACAGCTGGGCGAAGGTGTCAATATGGGGCTGAGAAAGAGGAGACATCAGC